AAGGGGAGAATCCCACACTTCCACAACAACACAACCAAGGTACAACCTTGGTGGGTTCCTGGGTGATTGGTCAAGGTCAAGAGTTCCAAACCATTTGTCCTGGTGGGCACAAACAGTGATTAGGTGGGAGAGTTCAAAACGTCTTCAGCATCTAGGTAGCAGGGGTCCACTGGCAGCTCAGTTTGACCTCAGTGGGAGGGACCATGGAGCTGCCACCACTGTCAGGGGCAGTGCTGCCACTGTTGGGGGTGGTGCCGCCAGTCTAGGGTACTGCTGTGTGCAGGTCACAGGAGCCGGTGGTGAGCTGGAGGGCATTGCCACCGGCGGCAAGGGTCACAGGAGCCAGCGGAGGTGGAGGGCAGAGTTGCCAGCCTTGGGGACTTCAGGGGTTGCAGGGGTTGGGTGGGAGTTGCCCGCCCTGGCTGTGTGTTTCAGGAGCCAGGCGGGGAGCCGAAGGGCGGTGTCTCAGGTGGGCCTCATGGGTGACAGGAACTGGGCCAGAGTCACTGGCCCACGGCCACAGGTCTCAGGGGCTGGATGGGAGTTGCTGGCCATGGGCCGCACGGGTCACAAGAACTGGGTTGGTTGTAGGAGCCTGGTGGGGAGCCAGTGGGCTGTGGTCCCCAGTGGTCAGTAGCATGAGACCTGAGCTATGCTCTTTTCAGCATAGGGCAAGTCTCTCTCCCCTTGTGAGGCAATTGTCCCACAGCTCATGAGGTGCTCCACTCTAGAAAAAATCTGCAAAATGCTCTACATTTTGCAGGTGGTAGTCTTCTAGACCGCCAGGAGATGGGGTAGGGGTGGATTGGGAGTTTAGGAAGGTAGGGAGCATATTAGATTAACTTTTGGCCTAGGCAAGAGACTACCTGGGCTTGCAGTGGTTATCTCTCCATGGAGGGAGTCCCAGCCCTCAGTTGTTCTCTTTCCCCTTTGGTGAAACAAAAGGTCCTCTGTTTTCTACTGGCCTCAAGCCCCTCACCTGGAGGCAGGGGAAGGATTCCCATCCTCTTTGGGATGGGTTTTGTACCTGAAATTTGTTTCCTTGGATTTACAACTTGTTGCAGCAGGGGTGATGTGAACCTATTGATCCTTTGTCTCTGCTCAGCTCCTGATCTTCTACTTTACTGGATTATTTCTGGCTATTATTTCTCCCTCTGGACAGGAGCCTCTGCTGAAGCTGGCTTCAGTCAGCCATCTTGCCTCCTCTCCCAAGTTCCTAATTTTAATATGGTCCTGTTTATTTCAGTCTTCTTCTTTATGGTTGGTGTTTTTGTGTTGTGCTTAAAACAAAACCTTTGCTTATAAAGATAGCTTCCTATTGAAGATCTAGAAGTTCTGTTGTTTTGCTACTCATTTTAACCTGTGATCAATCCATCTGGAATTGATTTTCACATACTATGTGAGATTAAAATCAATTTTTTTCACATTAATAGCTATTTAATCAGCACAGTTTATTGAGAACACAGTCCTTTTCTTCTTATAAATCAGATATACATGTTTGTGGATCTGTTTCTAGACTATAAATTTTGTCCAGTTGGTCTTTCAGTTTATTATTTTACCACTGCCACAAATGGCTTAAATTTACTCTGTGATACCCACTAGTGTATAGTTTTCTACTACTTTATAATAAGTTACCACAAATTTTGCAACTTGAAACAACAAAAAATTGTTATTTCATAGTTTCTATGGATCAGAAGTCTGGGAATAGGTTGGTTGGGTCCTGCTCAGGCATAAGGCTGTGACCAAGGTGTTGCTTAGGACATCTAATCTTAATGGAGATTCCAGAGTTCGTTCTGTACACATGGGAAAGAATTCATCTCCATGTAGCATTAGGATTCATGGTGCCTTGCTTCTTAGAGGCCAGTAGGAGATTTTCTCTGATTTCTCCTTCTTTTTTAAGGACTCACCTGATTAGGTTAGGTCCACCAAAGGCAGTCCTTTTCATTAACTCAAAGTGAAATGATTAAGGGATCTTAATTATAAATGTAAAATGCATTTGCCATATAATGTAACATAATCCCTAGAGTTACAGGTCTCTCCTACACTCAAGGAAAGGAGGTTTTATGTGCCAAATAGTAGTTCACTGAGGGACATCATGGAATTCTGCCAACCATAATCAGTATATGTTCACATATTTTGTTCTCTTTAAGACTGCCTGGGCCATTCTTGGTCCTTTAAATTTCTATATATAAGCTTGAGAACCAATTGTTGATGTCTTCAAAAATATCTGCTAAGATTTTGATTGAGATTGCTTTGAATTTATAGGCCAGTTTAGGGAGAATTGTGATCTTTGTAATATTGAGTTGTTCAATGTAAGAATGTAGTTTATTCCTTCTTTTTACAAAGGTATTCTTTAGTTTTTCCTTAATAATACTTTATAATTTTCTGTGTATTAGTCTTAGACATGTTTTATTAGATTTATTCTGAAGTATCTCATGCTTTTCACGGTCCTTTAAGTGGTACTTTAACACCCTTAGTTGCTGGCATATAGAAATCTTCTTGGTTTTTATATTGACCTTATAGTCAAAACTTGCTAACCTTACTTCTTGTAATAATTGATCTACAGATTCCTTTTCTTTTATTTCATACAGAATTATGACATGCAGATATTCACAGCTTTATTCTCTTCTAATTCTAATTTCTGTGTGCTCTTCTTCTTTATCACAGCTCATTTTTATGCTCTGTTTGACTTACTCTCTTCCCTGTTTTCCACTTCTCAGCATATGCCATGAGCATTTACCAACTGTTTGTGTTGATAAGCTGGGATTTTTCTTTCTTTCTTTTTTTTTTTTTTTTTGAGACAGAGTCTCACTATGGTACCAAATCTCACTGTAGGGTACTGTGACATCACAGCTTACAGCAACTTCTTGGGCTTACATGATTCTCTTGCCTCAGCCTCCCAAGTAGCTGGGACTACAGGCACCCGCCACAATGCCCAGCTATTTTTTGGTTGCAGTTGTCATTGTTTAGCACGCCTGGGTTGTGCTGGAGCCAGCTAGCCTCAGTGCATGTGGCTGGTGCCCTACTCACTGAACTACAGGCGCTCAGCCAGATACTTCTTTTCCTTTCTTTTGGTTCATGCCTACTTGTTGGCTCTCCACAGTAGTCATCTATGACCTGTATGAGATGGTCTATTGTATTATGGAAGAATATATTCAGATGCCTACTTACATTTATTTTAATCTTAAAAAAAGGAAATTTATTATGTAGATTGACAATATAAATTTATAATTTCTAAATAAAATGTTTTCCCAGAATGGAAGAGTGACCAAATATTTTAGATACCCCTAATTCTACAGAACTTAATTTAAGGTTGCTGTGAGCTATGATGATGCCACAGTACTGTATGAGGACAATAGTGTGAGACTCTGTCTCAAAAATAAATAAATAAAAATAGAAAGAATTCAAATCTTTACCTCCTCAATGAAACCCACCAAATATTTAGGATACCCCTAATTCTCCAGGACTTGAGAATTATAATTACTCAATAATTTTTTCCCACACTACCTCTATAACTTTCTCTTTCTGTCTCTTTTTTTTTTTCCAGACTAGGTCTCTGTCACCTGGACTAGATGCAGTGGTGTCATCATAATTCACTGTAACCTCAAACTCCTGGCTCAAACAATTCTTTTGCCTCAGGCTCCTGGGTAGCTAGACTATAGGGATGCACTATGATGCCCAGCTCATCTTTCTTTTCTATCTTTCCTTTCTTCCTTTCTCCTTTCCCTTCCCTTTTCTTCCCTCCCCTCTCTTTCCTACCTTTTCTTCCTTTCTTCCCTCACCTCCCCTCGCCTCCCATCCCTTCCCTTTCCTTCCTCTTTCCTTTCTTTCATTCCTTTCCCCTCTCCTCCCCTTTCCTTCCTTCCTTTCTTTCTTTCCTTCCTTCCCTTCTTTTTTACTTTTCTCTTCTCCCTCCCTCTCTCTCTTCCTCCCTTACTTCCTTCCCCCTCTTTCCTTTCTTTTCTTCCCTTCATTCCCTCCCTCCCTTCCTTCTTTCTTTCCTTCGTTCCTTCCTTTCTTTCTCATAGAGACAGGGTCTTCTTGCTCAGGCTGGTCTTAAACTCCTGGCCTCAGGCAATTCTCTTGTCTTGGCCTCCTAAAGTGCTAGTAGGCTCTATAACTCTGTATCTTATCAGAGCCCCAAATGACACTCTCACATGTGCTAATTGTCATTTGTTTAACTATATATGTTAGATATATCCATTCTTATGCTATTGCCCAGGTTCATGAATGACACTATAGTATTACTTAAGAATTCAAATCTTAGCGGGTCCTAGTGGCTCACACCTATAATCCTAGCACTCTGGAAGGCTGAGATGGGTGGATCGCTTCAGCTCAGAAGTTCAAGACCAGCCTGAGCACGAGCAATACACCATCTTTTCTAAAAATAAAATATTGCCAGGCATGGTGGTGTGCACCTGTAATCTCAGCTATTCAGGAGGCCAAGGCAAGAGGATTATTTGAGCCCAAGAATTTAAGGTTGCTGTGAACTATGATGATGCCACAGTCCTGTACGAGGGCAATAGTGTGAGACTGTCTAAAAAAAAAAAAAAATTCAAATCTTTACCTACTCAATGAAACCCACCTAAATAGTAGGAATAGAAATTGTCTCTTCGTTTGTAACTTTGCATATCTTTTTAATATAGTAACTATAACATTTTTTCATAGTTATGTGTTTATATGTTTTCATTTGTTTATTGGATTCTATCTGCCTTGAAAATAGTAACATTTTTTTGTCTTCAAATTCCCCCAAAGTAGCAGAGTTCTTTGTGGTATATAGGCACATGATAAGTCACTAATGGTTTATCGCAGAGTTGGGGAATTTCTGTTACAATTTCTCCTGTTCCAGCCAGGAACTGTGCAAAAGTAGACAACCCATAACACGTTTCCTGATTAACTCTGAATTTTGAACATTGTAATGATTCTTACATACATTTGCCATTCTTATGCACCTTCTAATATTGATAACTCAAAATTTGAATGCAAATGGGCTGTTTCAGGGACCCTTATCATTTGAGGATGTGATTGTGGGCTTCACACAGGAGGAGTGGCAGCACCTAGACCCTGCTCAGAGGACCCTGTACAAGGATGTCATGCTGGAGAACTACAGCCACCTTGTCTCAGTGGGTAGGTAGCGACTTCTTCCCACGTAGATTCCCAGTATGCATATCTCTATTTAGTTGCTAAAACCTGTGGAAGTTTTGTTGTGTTTAATGATAGTTAAGATCGATACTCAGAGTGTCAAACAGAAGAACTGTTGGGGCACTATAAAGGATGTTTTCTTTCTTTTTCAATGAAAGGTTGAAATTAGTTCCTGAAGCTTCATTTTCTGCCTTCTTCAGAGACTTTGAATTCCATTAGCGTCACCCAATTTCCATGTCATATCCTATTCACAGGGTGTTGTATCCCTAAACCAGAAGTGATCTTCAAGTTAGAACAAGGAGAACAGCCATGGATATTACAGGAAGAGCCCACAAACCAGAGCTACCCAGGTGGGCTGATATGAATTCTTTTTGTGCTTAAGTGTTTGCTCATGTGTTCATTTCTTCATTGTAAACATACTGAGCACCTGCTGTGTGTTGCTCAAGTTTTACGTGTTGGAAATAGAGTGATAGACTAAATACTGTCACTGACCTCATGGAGTTTATGTTTGGATAGGGATAGATAGATAAGAAACAAAAAAACGACAATATCATACACACATGTACATGTAAGATGCCAAGTGGTCATATAAAATAGCAAGGAAGTTTTGTTTCTTTTTGTTGTCTTTTTGTTTATTTGGTTTTTTTTTTTTTTTTTTTT